TCATTCATTTGAACAAACTTGATAGCCCTTTATCCCAGCATGCTACAGGCCCAATATCAGTACCCTGGGCCATTTGTTTATTGAGAAGAAGTTGTTTGAAGATTTTAAAGACAACTGACACCAGTGACCTTGAAAGTGGGTCAAGGTCATTCATTTGAACAAACTTGGTAGCCCTTCAACCCAGCATGCTACAGGCCCAATATCAGTACCCTGGGCCTTTTGGTTATTGAGAAGAAGTTGTTTGAAGATTTTAACATATTTGACCCCTGTGACCTTGAAAGTAGGTCAAGGTCATTCATTTGAACAAACTTGGTTGCCCTTGATCCCAGCATGCTACTAGCCAAATATCATCTTCCTAGGCCTTTTGGTTATTGAGAAGAAGTTGTTTAAAGCAAAAAGTTGAGGCCAGACGGACGGACGACGGATGCATATGCCGCACCATAACCTTCGGGCAGGTGAGCTAATAAATTAGAACAGAACTGTGAGAGGTCAGGGGTATTGCCAAATTTGTTAATATGGTGAAACCTGTTTAAAATGACATCCTGTGGGATACAGCATCTAGGTCAAAAGGAGCCTGTCTAATATGACACTCGGTGAGACACAATGTCTAGGTTAGGAGGAAGAGCCTGGCTAATCTGACACCTGTGAGATACAACATCTAGGTCAGGATAAGCTTGTCTAGTCTGATACCCTAGGAAAACAACATCTGTGAAATTAACCTTTCTAATATGACACCCTGGAAGACACAATGTCTGGGTCAGAAGGAGCCTGTCTAATCTGACATCCTTTGGGCAAAACAAACTGTAAAGATTAACCTGTCTAATCTGACACCTTAGGGGAACAACAAACTAAATATAAGCCTGTCTAATCTGACACCCTGTGAGATACAATGTCTAGGTCAGGATGGACCTGTCTAATCTGACATAATAGGGGCACAACAAACTGTTAAGATTAGCCTGTCTAACATAACATCCTGTTGTACACATTTTTTAGGTCAGATTATACACGGTGCCAGAATTCATAGGTCTTTTAAAGGTTTTCGTGAAAAAGGAAATATATTATTCATTTGGATTACACAGGAATACAAAGGTGTCAGATTATACAGGTTCTACTGTGCATACAGTTAGATTACAGCAGAAGTATCAGATTACCATAGGAATCAATTAAAAGCCAATCCATTAATAAAAATTTCGTAAAAAGAGTAAAAAATTCTAACGGAGTGGCTTGATTTATGCATAGAAAGCATGTAAGGATAGGGTTTTGGTTTCAAGGAAAATGAATTAACGGATTAAGTCAACAACTAAAACAGGTTATACGTTAACACGACAATCTACAAATCAATACCACTTCAGATTTGGTTAGCTTGGTCAACAGCAATACTATAACAAAGCAGTGCCACCAGGTAACAAGACTAAATAACACCTACGCTACCAGACTTTAATCAGGGTTTGTCGCACCTTTGACTGGAACGTTGTTATTTTATTGGTTCCTTGCTGTCACATGATGACCCCCTAAAAATATTTTAGGGGTCAGTATAAATTTCTTAGGGGAGTCACTAACGAAATCATGATGGTGGCCATTCTTTACTGCGACTACCAAATCTGTTGTTTCCCTTAACTTTTCATTTACTTGTCAATTTTGTATGCTTGTCAAAACACAATGGAAGCCTAAAATCATACAAGTATTTTAAGGAGCCCTGTCCCACTGCTCGGTGGTTTTCATAAATACATTAACCTCCTTTTAACTTCCTTTTGGATATAACTGACAAATAGTTGGGCCAGAACACTTTCATTGACCAGGTAGCTCAATTGGTTAGAGTGATAGTATAATCTGTAGTCCAGTTCAAATCCCGGTCTGGCCCGCTGAGTTTTTTCAACACAGAACACTGTTGCTTGATAATATTTTATTTATTTTATCTCATAAAAGTCCCACAAGGTATGATTTTCTTTTCAGAAATGATTAATGAAATTATCGTGATCCCGGAAAAAATAGTTTCCAATTTGTTACAGTTTTTGCCAGCGGTACAGGGATCCTTAAGCAGAAGGTTAGACATTATTAGACACTCTTGGTTATGCAATGAACCATTTTCAGTCAAACCTTCACAGCACAGTGAGTGATGGAAGATTCTACTGGTATAAAAGTTGACTTAATAAAATTCATAATTTTTGAAGTTTGAACCTCACTGACATGACAATGGAACCTTTAAGTTATAAAAGAAAATCATTGCGATCTTAGCAGAGTGCTGTTCTGCTGATAATTGACAGTTTATTGCTGTTCTGGTCAAGTTTGTCTGTCCCAAGTGGGTCAATAGACTAATAGGGCCAGAGAATTCCTAGGCTGATGGTACCAAGATGTCATCGACAGATGTCAATTAACAGTGTATGCCCACATGAGAGCATTAATATATTACAATGCAAACAGGAGCACTGGCTATAAGTAAAGACCAATAGAGATCCCAGACGTGTGCACTAATTCTATGTGTGTGTTATAGTTTGCAAAGAACAGAATTCTCTCTAAGCTGTCAGTACCAACAGTTTAGAAGAGTAAAGGGGCGTAAGTGACACATGAAAGATCAGGGACTACAGTTCAGTGACATCCAAAACAAGGACATTGTAGCTCTGGGGATTTGTTTGTTTGGGTTTAACTCATTCACCCCTGAAATTTCATAATGAACTAATCCAACCTTTGAATTGGAAGAGTTCAAACGTGTCTTCAGGGGTGAGTAAGTAAGTTAATGTCCTGGCATCAGCTAAGATCATATACAGATGGGTACCTCTGAAAAAGGAAGAGTAGGAAGGAGACAAAGGCTAATACTGAGGTCTCGTGAGATGTTATGGGAGCACCAGATCAATGTAACCCACACTCAGAACACATTATTCACTATATTTTGTATATTTCATCTACATAAAAGTCCGGCAAGTAAACTTTTCTTTTCAAAAATGATTTATCAAAGTTATGGTCATGCCAGAAAATTATTTCGAATACATATATATAGTTTCATTTTTTGGCAACAAAAGAGAGAGAGAGACAGAGAGAGAGAGAGACAGACAGAGAGAGATAGAGACAGAGAGGACAGAAGCGGGAAATTAGCACCATGCAATGGGATTAAAGGTTTTAGGTTTGGGAAATTATTCGTAAGTTGGGAGAGAAAAATGGGAGGACAGAGAAGTAAACCATTAACTGAAACAGGAAGTAGTTTAGTAGTGAACTGCTATTGCTAAGTGAGGTACATCTGATTGTGTTTTGTTAATGAAACAAAAGTTAAGACTGCAAATATTAGTTCCGGAAATCCAAAGTCTTGTTTATAAACAAACCTGTTCCGTAGAAATTGGACTTTGATTTGCTGATCCCTAATAAAACATAATACAAGAACATAACTATCACCTTCTGAATTAAAAACTTGAGAGAGAAAAAAAACATTTTCCTGAGCGTACTCCTTTTCATAGGTTTGTTATGTTTTATTCATTCAATTCAGGCAGCTTTCTTTTTTATAATTTCTGATTTGATTCAATGCACTCATATATTTAAACGTTTACACTCTAAAACTCTCACACATTTAGATTTAGAGATGCATCCTATTTCTAACACATGAATAGATATGTCTCACACGCGGACATTGAGATACATCAAACTCCGACACGTCCCCAGAGATGCATCAACTTCCAGGTGATAACTCCAGCTGAGCCCTTGCGTGTAAATTGAATAAACGGAGATACACAACTGGAGATAGAAAACTAAATCTAATTAATCTGTGAATGATTCATGAGCATTTGATGCATTAATATGATCTGCAGATAACAAACGTCCTTTTCAAAACATATATTAACATGTGATCGGGTTCAATAAAAGAAACAAGAGATCCCAGAGGGATCTTGGTGCCCACCTTTGTACCATCTTCATTAGTTCTTTGTCAGTTCGATCTTTTCTCTTCTTTCCTCTAATCTGTTTGATCGAGTCATGTTAACAGTAAATGCACCTTGAGGTAACTTTTGATCTAAACTTAATACTGATGTGTATGAAAGCCAACCTTCAAAGTGAGTTTGTCATTTCACATATTTACTAGTACAGTACTTAATGTGAAAGAAATAGAAT